GAACAAGGGTCACAGTAGCAAGGAATTCATAATCCACCAAACAGGCAAGGAATGGGATATCAACAAGCCCCACCTCCACTTCCACCACCAGCCAGAATTATACACATGATTACAGGAGAATTAGAAGCAGGAGGGTTGAGCTCCAAACAGAGAAAGTTATATGTCAGAGAGGTAAAGCACCAAAACCAAGCTCAGAAAAGGAAACTTAATGATGCTGACTGGAAAGATCAACCAATCACTTTTACACCCAATGATTTTAAAGGGGTGGTAATACCTCACAATGACCCTTTGGTCACCTCAGTAATGATCAACAACTGTCAAGTCCAGCGTGTACTTGTTGACACTGGCAGTGCACCCGACATCATGTACTACCACTGTTTTGAGAGCCTAGGGCTCGACCCAGCTCTGCTACAATGTTACGATGGTCCCATATATGGCTTCAACAACTAACCAGTTCAAGTTGAAAGGGTCCTAACCATGAATGTCGCATTTGGAAGTGGCCGAACCTATGTGACTCCTTCAGTTCGATTTCTAGTAGTCAAGATGCCTTCTTCTTTTAATGTTGTCATTGGTCGGCCTACATTAACAAAGATCCGAGCTGTGGTCTCTCAAACTCATCTCTACATGAAATTTCCAACCCCCATGGGAATTGCAACACTCAGAGGTAACCAGGAAGTGATTAGACATTGCTATCTCACTTCGGTCACAAAGCCACAGAAAAACATAGATCAACCAGCAGAGAACCGTCCACAGAAAATCCATGACAATCGGCAAGTGATGGGGGTTGAAATCCTTGATAACCGACCTGATGATGAAACCCGAGCTGCTCCGGGTGAAGATGTAGATGAGGTACAGATTGATGAAAAAGATCCGAACAAAAAAACACAGACAGGAACTCGGTTGAACCTTGAGGAGAGAATAGAGTTGATAACCTTTCTCTGAGCTAACAAAGATGTTTTCGCATTGACCTCAACAAACATGCCAGGGATTCCCACCTTGGTATCTCAACACAAACTCAGCACTAATCCACTTAAGAAACCATTGGCCCAAAAGCGGCGCCTCTTTGGGGGGGAGAGGTTAAAGGTCATAAAGGAAGAAGTTGAAAAACTCTTACAAGCTGGCTTCATCAAATGGGTCGATTATTGTAAATGGGTCGCCAATCCTGTGTTGGTGAAAAAAGCAAATGGCAAATGGCGGATGTGCATCAATTACACTAATCTCCACCATGCATGTCCAAAAGACTGTCACCCAATGCCAAACAATGATAGGCTAGTTGAGGCAGCTTTTGGAAATGAGAGATTAAGTCTCTGGGATGCATACTTTGGTTACCACCAAGTCCCAATGGCTCCTGAGGATGAAGAAAAAACCTCATTCTATGTTGAAGACGAAATCTATTGCTACATGATGATGCCCTTCGGCTTAAAGAACGCAGGTGCCACTTACCAGAAGATGGTTACCATCATATTCCGAGCTCAAATAGGCTGGAATTTGGAAGTTTATGTTGATGATATTGTGGTAAAGAGTTTGAAAGCTGAAGATCATTTAACTGACCTCTAAGAGACATTCAACAATCTTAAAAAGAACAGAATGAGGTTGAATCCAGCAAAATGCATCTTCGGCGTGGAGTTTGGAAAATTTCTAGGCTTCATGGTGTCCAAAAGGGGGATTGAGGTTAACCTCGAGAAGATCAAAATAGTGGCTGAAATGGAACCACTGAAGTCAGTAAAAGACGTACAGAGGCTAACAGGGAGAGTAGCAGCTCTTCATAGATTCATCTCGAAATCAGTACATAAATGCCTACCATTCTTCAAGATCATGAGATTAGCAGCCCAGAAGGATGAATCTGGCAAACAAAAGAAATTTGAATGGAATTCAGAATGCCAAGCTGCATTTGACGAGCTAAAGTTTTATCTTAGCTCACCCCCTTTGCTAACAAAGGCTAATGATGGAGAAATCCTTTCCTTGTACCTCGGTATATCAGATGAAGCTATCAGCTCCGTGCTAGTAAGAAAAGAAGGGAAGCAACAGAAGCCAGTTTATTATACCAAGAGTGTATTATATAGAGCTGAAATCAGATACTCTATTGCCAAGAAAGCAACCTTAGCAATTGTCACCTCGGCCAAGAAGCTGAGACCATATTTCCAATCACATCCAATCATAGTCCTCACAGACCAACCCTTCAGACAAATTTTACAAAAGCAAGAATGCTCAGGAGGATTGATCAAATGGGCAGTTGAACTGGGAGAATTTGAGATAACATTTCAGCAAAGGTCAGCGATCCGAGCTCAGGCTCTTGCAAATTTCATAGTAGAATGCACCTCGGCTCACTCTGATTCCCAGCTCGAGCTGGACAGTTAGATTCTATATGTTGATAGAGCATCAAGTAACAAAAGTTCTGACGCTGGTGCAATCCTACTTGGCCCAAATGGATATTGAAGTGAACATGCTCTGAAATTTAATTTTGATGCCACCAACAATATGGCTGAATATGAGGCCCTGCTACTTGGCTTACAATTGGGAATAAAATTGAAGGTTACAGCAATACAAATATACAGTGATTCACAATTAGTAGTCAACCAGGTCAACTCAATTTGTGAAGTGGTCGATCCTGTCATGATAAAGTATGCAACTCTGGTGGCCGAGCTAAAATCCAAATTCCAAAAATTTCATTTGAGCAAAATACCCCGAGCCGAAAATGAACAGGCATATTTCCTCTCCAAATTTGCCTTTGATGGCAACCAAAGCTCTAGATCGGTCTTTGTTGAGATTCTGGACGAGCCTAGCTTCCTAAAGCCGAAAATGATGGAAATCAGCACAGATCCTAGCACACCGAGCTGGACAGATCCAATTATCTCATTTTTACGAGATGAAACAATGCCTACAAATAAACAAGAAGAGATGAGGTTGAGGATGAAAGCATCTCGGTATACCCTTGTTAATGAAGTCCTCTACAAGAGATCTTTCTCATCCCTCTACTCCGCTGCTTGAACCCTTATGAGGCTGAATATGCACTTCAGGAGGTGCATGAAGGTGTCTATGGAAGTCATATTGGTGCTCGAACCTTGGCTCATAAAGTCTTTAGACAGGGATATTATTGGCCCAACATGTATAAAGATGCCACTCAGTTCGTACAGAGGTGCCAGAAATGTTAGTTCTTTGCACATCTAACTCACCAGCCAGCAGAAGAGCTCACTAATCTGGTAGCACCTTGGCCATTTGCTCAGTGGGGACTTGATCTTTTAGGTCCATTTATGAAGGGGGTAGGAGGTGTAACCCATCTGATTGTTGGTATGGATTATTTTACGAAATGGGTTGAAGCTTAGCCATTATCCAGTCTTATCTCCAAGAAGGTCGAAGACTTTGTTTTCAGCTCAATCATCTACAGATATGGGATCCCAAATCAGATTGTGGCTGATAATGGAACTCAATTCAACTGCTCCTCATTCAGAGATTTCTGCTTCAGTTATGGGATCAAATTACAGTTCACCTCGGTGTACCACCCGGAATCTAATGGGATGGTAGAATCTGTCAACAAAGTTATACTTGAGGGGATAAAACCAAGGTTAGAGCTGCATAAGGCCAGGTGGGGAGATGAGCTCAACAACGTCCTCTAGGCATACAGAACCACGAGCCGAACTGCCACAGGTATTACTTCAAACCTAGTTTACTTGATTAACTTTCATATTATTTTATTTCTTCTTCTACGGCTTTACCTTAGATCAAATATGCATAACACGTAAAGTACATTCTAAAATTATAATTCACTGAAATATGTGAAACACCCTATCACCGAACCTTTGGTACCGCAGCAGTCATTCCTATTGAGATAGGAGTCCCAAGCTTCAGGGTCACCCATTTCAATGAAGGACGAAATGGACAACTGCTTCGTGAGAACCTTGATTTGCTTGACGAAGTCAAAGAAGAAGCATGACTTCGAACTCTAGTTTACAAGCAGAAATTAGCCAACTTCTACAACAAACGAGTTCGACCCTGAACATTCAAAGTAGGAGACCTTGTTCTTAGGAAAACTGATTTAACGGGGTTTGAAACTCAATTCGGTAAGTTAGCACCAAACTGGGAAGGCCCCTACACTGTAGCTAAAGTGCCACACCCAGGTGCTTATATCTTACGGGACATTGAAGGCAAAAAGGTTCCTAGAATCTAGAATGTCAATAACTTGAAGAAGTTTTACCCTTAATATACTTATTTCAAGTGAACTTTTTCTTGTTTTTATAATTGTCATTATTCCCTCTCTTTCTGCTCAATCTAATGTATATACGAGCTCAATTCATTTATCTCATTAATGAGTTTCACTTTACATTTGAAGTGATTTAGTTCTTTCTACTCTTTTGTACAATGGAAGTGAATTTCACTTCTACCCGAAGTTGATTCATTGTGACTTATTTAGTCACTTCACTTTCTGGATTATGATTCTATTAATCAATTACACTTTACTTTTGAAGTGATTTACTTCATCTTTTTTCATTTATATATTTGAGGTACGTCTCACGTATATCCGAAGTCAACTCCCTGGCTGTCCATTTTACTGTGTATCCGAGGTCATTTCTTTGTATTAATTAAGGTCACTTTATTTTATCCGAAGTGATTTACTTGAAACAAAATAGCAATTAAACATCACAATATACACACCAAAAACAACTTCAAAAATTTTATAAATTAATAAAAAAATTAATTACAAAATTGTTCATTACAAACACAACTAAAAAAATAAACAGGAAATCCTAAGCTATTTTGCCAATGAAGGAGGCTGCTCCTTAGCAAAAGGAGGCTGCTCCTTAGCAGAAGGAGGTGGTTGAGGTGGCTCATCCCCAGTTGGCAGAGGTGGTACTTCTGCTTCATGAGGAGCTAGTTGCACTTTGTCTGAGGAAATAGGATGAACTTCAGGAGGCTGGACTTCGGTCGGGTGCCCTTTGATTGGCTCAACTGCCTAGTCCTCAACTCCAGTATCTCGCACGTCTGCCTTTTCCTCCACCGCCACGAGCTCAGCATCAAAGGCTGGAGGAAAGATAGTGCGTCCCTCTGCATCACGCTCCCACCTCAACTTAATCAGAGGTCGGAAGTCAGCAGAAAGACTTTCACCGTCCTTCTCCACCTTTTCTTCTTGATCGCTGAAGGTGACCGTCGTTACGTCCACTTCAGGATACTGAGCTTTCACCTTATTTCTACAGTTGGTGAACGCCAAGATTGCAGTCGGCAACCGGTAGAGGTTGACAATGCTCTCAAAGGTGCTGGAGTTGAGGAAGTTGCCAATATGTTCTTCTATCTCGTTGTGAACCAGCAAATTCACATTCTTTTTTAGCTCCATCACTCCTTTGTTCATGTTCTCAATATGCTTGTCTTGAGCCTCAATCTTGTCTTCGCAGATCTTCCTTTTACGCTATTTGAAGACAAGTCTTGTGCTCGAGGCATCTCTATCATTCTGGAGCTTGGTTACTGCTGGCACAATCTCATCCAGTTTCCTCTGCATCTCTTTGTTCTTCCTCTGCAGCTCCTCCTTCTCCTTTTGCAGCTCCTCACACTGCTTCTGCAAGTTGGTGCGGTCTCTCACGCTTTCCACATACTCTTGCGCCAGAGCGTTTACCCAGCTTACACTCTACAATGCAAGCAGAAGTCAGAACTCAAACGCAGAAGTCAAAAAATCAAAAATAAAATATAAATAAACTATAACTTCTTTACATACCTCCAAGGTGTGCCTCACAACGAGAGCCCCCACTTGGCTTACCGCCTCGTCCCTCGCCTGCCTCCTATCCACCTCCAGAAGAGTTGCGGTGAGAAACCGCTTCGCCCCAGTAATGTTCTTTGCCTCGAACAAACTCTTCTGGAACAAAGGAGGAGGGATGAGTTCCTTGCCTTTGCCAAGGCCTCGCACCTCGGCCTCTTCCCTCTCCCTGACTTCAGGCTCAACCTCAATAGGAGAAGGCCGAGGTACGAATTCAACCATCTCATCCCCCCTAACTTTCGGCTCTACCACCTTCCTTTTCTTCCTCCAAAGTGGCTCCACCTCCTTACTTACTTCTTCGTTGCTTCTCCTTATAGGCTCTGGCCATTGCTGTACTTCTAAAGCTCGAGCAGAAGTACTGGACAGGTGTTCCCTTTCTGTTGCCCCCTTATTTGCCATACTTGAAGTCTTTGACTTCTTCCTTGGCTTCTTTAGGATAGCCAGCCCCTCAGCAGTGTTCAAAAAACCCTCCATTTCAACTGCAAAACAAACACAAGTGTTAAAACACACTAATTGAAACCTCAAATAAATTGTAGAAAACAAAAATAAACAAACCTTCGCTCAATGAGCTTGGCCCATAGAGCTCGGCAGCCTCTATCGCCTTTGAGCTAGTGAGGTACAAGATATCCACTAAGTCACCTTCCTCCCTCACCAGCTTCCCTACCTCTTCCACCTCATCCTCATTTAACTTGTAATCATTATGCTTAACTTTCTTAACTTTCCAAGCAGACAAGTATTCCACTTCGGCCTCCCTCCTACTCCACTCGGTGTCATCCACAAAGAAGAACTTTTCTTTCCATCCTTTAATGGATGATGGTCCAACAGTGAATAAATTCCTATTCTTTTTGTTGGACGACCGAGGTCCGAAGTAATACCACCCCTTTTCACTCTTACCCCCAGACTTTATGATAAAAAAGTGTTTAAACATACTTACAGTGGGGACCCCAATACCCCGAGCTCGGCAGTATACTATAAAGCCTATTATTATTCTTACAGTATTTGGGGTGAATTGGGTTATTCCTATACTATACTCTAACAATAACCCAACCAATAACTTTGGAATGGGAAACCTAAGCCCTGTTGCCAAATAATGGACATACATGGGCATCCAGTGATCTCGGGGTGCTAAGCACGCTCTCTCATTCACCCTGGCAAGCCTAATTAACACGTGGTGAGGAAGGTTGTAGTTACCTACAAGGCCCCTAAGGCTACCCCTGCTACCCAATTCACTCTCATACTCCCTCACCTCGGATACTATACCTAAGTCTGGGTCATAACACCTATCTACATCACCCTCAACCTCCATAATATTCGAGGGAATTTCTTCTTCTACCTCTTCCACTATCTCTCGCTCCCTTCTCTCCTCCACTGTCCTTTCCGAACTAGACAAAGACGGACTACTCTCTGAATCCATACCACCGTACTCCAGAGGCATCACCTTACTTCCTACAACACTCACTGTTCCTTCCAAAGACATCTCCTCAATTTTTGCATGAAGTAGAAGGAGGAATGAAGTCAGGACCCTTAAAAAACTCTAACGCACACTCAATATCATTCTCACTCCCAACCCTAACTTCCTTTAGAGGACTCAAAATCAAAAACAGAAAGGGAGAAAGGAGAGTGACACTTCGTTAAAATCAAAATCAGAGAATTATATACATTACCTGATTTTGGTCTTGTGAAACTGGTGTTAAAGTCCCAAACGAAGCACAGAGGTCAACCGCACGAAACCGTAGAAATGTAGCAAGAATTTGGTAGCGAAATAACGAAAGTAAAACCCTTTTTTACAGAAGTATTGCCTTTTATACCAAAGAAAAAATACGCCTTAACGACTATGATTAATTCCATTTAACGGCTACAAAAACACCGTTTCGAATTTGACGGTTAACCCCAAACGGAACTGTTTCGAACTTGATGGATCATTTTTCAATTATGCCTATTTAACTATTGCAGTTATATTTTTACAGCTGCATTTATTACGCACGTCCTTCAGAGGACAGCTGTCACATCACGTACTGATTCTTTGTCAGGCTTCTCATACAGGCCCACTTAAGCCCATTTTAATACTCCTGTCCACTTTTACACATTCTTAATTTTTCCAAGTGTTTTACTTCGCAACCAACCTAATGACTCTGGTCATACTTGTCTCTTCGGCTATAGCCACTACGACTATGGTCACTACATTCATCTCGGCTACGGCCCACATGACTATGGTCACTGTATTTCATCTCGGCTCTGGCCACAGTGACCTAGTGTCACATGCTTTACTTCGGCTCCGGCTACAATGACCCAGTGTCACATGTTTTACTTTGGCTCCAGCCCACAGTGGCCTAGCATCACACGTTTCACTTCGGCTCTAGCCATAGTGACCCAATGCCATATGTTTCACCTCGGTTCTGGCCATAGTGACCCAGTGTCACATACTTTAATAGTATTATATAGCTACATAACATGCTTCTTACATCAGTTGATCTTGTATTATATTTATCACCTACTATCATATACTTCCTTTACCACATCATTCACAAGTGAATGACTTCGAGGGGGGAATAGTGTAAGGATAGGTCCGAGGTGTCCAACCTCGGACGTACGGCAGTAATTCCTTTATAACCAAAGTAAAGGATAAATTCAATACTTCTCGCTTAAACAGCTGTATGACAACGACAATAAGCATGCCCGCACCTGATTCCTTATGACAAGCTGCACAACAGTCACGATGAACATGCTCACATCTGAACATCTCTCAATTTCCTGATCCCGAAATAATCGTCTGGAGAGACACGTCAGACTCTGATTATCTTGCTTGGCATGCCACATGGGTTCCTCACTGAAGCCTATAAGACCCCCCAGGGGGCCACGTCAAAAAGGTAATTGAAACCAACCCTAAGCTTCTTTTATCTTCATTCTAAAGGTAGCCCCGATTATTGCTGACTTAAGCATCGGAGTGTCTACCCCGAGTTTCACCTCGGGGCTTTGTAGGTCAATCTGAAGTGTAGACGCAGATTGAAGAAGGACTTCTGGTTTGGTGCAATTACAAAACCCTTGTCACATAATCTTTTTATTGGTATAGTACACACACTTTTTCATATTAACGAACATGTTAATTTAAGTGAGAAGAATTTTATTTATCTTAAATAAAATCTCGAGTTTAATTTTATAACTAAATAAACAAGTTCTGATAGAATTTTCTCTTATAAAATTTGATACAGCTCGACTTTGAATAATACCAAATAAAAATA